TGCGTGGCTACACAGAGGCACCTTTAACAGGGGAGCTGCCCCGTGACTTGAGCCAGCAGTAGTCACAAAGCTGAGCTCGGAGCCTGGCACCTGCCCCTGCCTCGCGAGCCCAGGCGCGTGCACAGGCTCCTCCACGCGCTCACTCCTGCCTCCCTTCCTCTCTCCGGGGCTCCCCATCCTCCCTAGCAACTTAGCAGCCACACACAAATTCACTCCTTGGCACTGAGGAGTCAGAGAAGCAAACAGGATTTTTGCAAAAGCCCAAGGGAAAAAAGGAAAAACCACAACACAGCAATGACCTTGCATGATTTTTCACATGCCTCTGTATCAATCAGACATGTCCTGCCCTCACAAGTTGAAAAGGAGCACTAATACTAATATTGATGTCGCTGTCAAGCCTTTACAATAGATGCCTGACAGCACCGTGTTAGCCCGAGATACAGATAGTTCAGGCAATCAATAGCTTGAGAAGTCTCATATGGCAAGAGCCACGCGGCACGAGTACAGAAGATGGTGTGTAAAGCATCCTCGTTGCTCTAGCCCTCGCAAGGCTTCATGCTGGAGGGAGACTCCCAGCCCAAAGCTGCCAGAAATAGCTCAGTTTCAGGGGAGCAGACCAAGGCGTTCAAACCCTGCTCCTACCCACAGGCATTGGGGAATGGAGAATTAGCAGCTCGCCGGTGGGAGCAGGGGCTGAACGTAAAGCAGGGGCTGATAACACCCATACCTCCCTGCCTGCTTCAAGGCCTATGACATTTGCTTGCGATCGCTCGGTTTTCCTCCCTCACACAAGCCTTCACACCAGCAGATCACCCTAGCAAGAAGCCCGTCTCTGCTCTAAAACCAGGTGGCTTCATTAGCCTATCAAATTATTAACAACGTCAGAAGATCAACATTTGTTTGGCCAAGAGCAATGAACAATACAAACAGTACCACCTAAAATCATTAATATTTTATTAGATCAGAAGCTCTGGTCCTGTAGCAAAACTCCATGAAAATGAAGTGCACTGCGAGCCAGTGCAAGGAACTGGACACAAAGGCACAGGGGATGCCCTGACTCCTTTTCCGACACAATAGGGAAAGCCAAGAGCGGCCCCTCTTCCCCCAGACCACAGCTCCCAGGCAGGCCGGGTTTTTCTTTTATTTCCCGAGTACCGTGGAGGCTGGAGAATGAAACAAAGAAGTTTCTTGGGTTGCTTCTTTCCGAAAGCAGTGACCCCCAAACTCTATCATTAGTAACAATAATGAAAAGGTGCCATAAGAGGGAGTGTATGGATGATTGCCACTAAAAGGAACATTCTCATTAATTTATTACAGATTTTTAACTTGGCTTCATTAGGACATGTCTGTTGAAGGCCATTTAGGACTCTGGGGATATGCCCGTACTTTAGATTCCCTCCACGCTTTGGGAAGAAGGCAGGCAGGACAGATTTGCTGGCTAGTGTACATTTTTGCAAGCGTAGCCAGGAATTCATCATTTTGCCAGTCTTCTAACTAAGAAAAGGCAGCCTCTTGAAGTTAAGGATATGATGATTGTGTAGCCATTTAAACATGAGCCTCAAAACTGGTCCCTCTCTAGCATGAGAAAATTGTAAACCAATTTTTCTTCCCTCTGCAAACCTGCCAGCCCAGCAATGCCCACTGTTATCCTTGTATCCCAATCACGTGCCACCCAGAGAAGGCCATCCTTTCATCTGCTTTCTCATCACAATACTGATCTTTCTGCTCTGGATATGTGCTTTTAGAAGAGCCTCTCCACAGCACAGGCTCTAGCATGTGCACTCTCACATACATACACACACCCCTCTGCCCCACACAGGCCATCGCGGTGCTGCTGTCCAAACGCCCCCTCATTCCTTGTCTGATGAGTTCCTCTAAGGCACCATGCACAAAGTTGTGAGGACCTTGGTATTTCTTTCAGTGTCATCAGGGCACCAGACTCCCACAAGCTGTTTTGGAAGAACCTGCTTCATTGAATCTTCTGGATAAGATGACTCTTCACTCTTAAACCTACAAAAAGCCACTGAAGCCCTGCAGTGATAAATAATGACGAGCACTTGGGACAGGCTCCCTAGCTGGACAACATCTATAAAGCAGAGATAGCTAATAATTAACAAACCCAGCAGATTCTAAGTTTGCAGCCCCTCTAATGGAGCAGAAGACAGGGAAATATTAAAGAAGGGCTAACAGCTGGCTTATTAATGCTCTGAGCGGCAATTTCTTACAGAGGACACAAATGGGAAGGCAAAAATGCCATTAAAGTCTATTTTAAGATAAACAGGAGAAAAATACCCCATGAATCGTATCTTATTATATGCGTATTTTGCAACTATTGGTCTAACAAGCATCCCTGGTTTCCTTCTGCCCTTACCTGCACCCAGGGCTGGCCTGACAGCACACCGAGCAGCTTGGAGTGCAAGGGGCTTGTTAAAGTAAGAGGAAAACGGCCCTCAGAAACAAACTTGGACACGGGGAAGCTTTTCAGCAGATGCAGGGCCTGATTAAGCCACTGGGAGAGCATGAGGGCTCCCTGGCCAGTGTCTCCAAGGCCCTGAGGTGGATGTGGATAAGCCGCCGGAGTCGTTGTGGCTACGGGGCAGCCACAGGAGGAGCCGGGGACTCCTGGCAATGTGAAGCAGAGCATTTCCGAAAAAAAATAGGCCGCTTCTCTGTCACATGAGAAAAAACACTGCCCCGGGTGCAGCCCCAGGTGCCGGCGGGCGCCAGGCCTCTCGGGCTTGCGCCGAGAGTCTCTAGTGGCCGGACACCTGTAGCGCCACGACCAGGGAGAGGGAAAGAAATTCATGTTTTACGAGCAGGATCTAAAACAAATTTTATTGGAAACTTTTATGTTTGTAGGTTTGAGTAGTTTTTATAGAGACGAGTTCTGAAAACTGCCATAAAATTTTGCCTTAGGGGTTATGATTACATTTGTATCTTTCCCAAACTTATATAAATAAAGACGACAGGTTTTACTGTAGAAGCTTAAAAGGTTAGAGTGGTATTTGGTCTGAGATGAACCTTTTATAGATATGATGTTGTAAGGATTTATTGTTAAATATCAATAAAAAACACCCAACTTTACATTTCTTGATAAAGCCACGGCGATTAGAAAAAGAGCTGTTAAAAATGTGCTTGCCTCCCTAGTGGGAGTCTTTCTGCTAAAATGAAGTTTTAGGGCATTTTTGTTCTCTGGAAACCACTCTAAATCTTACAGTAAAAGCGCTGCTCGCAGAGGCAACACGGCGTGTGGCCCTGCTGCCCCCGTGCCTGCCCACAGCAGAGACTTCCCTGAGTTCTTCATGTTCCCCCCTCATCCACATGCCCCTTCTTAGTTTGCATCTGGCTTCCCTCCTTGCCTATCGATATTTAGAAGAAACACAGCAGTTACTTCACTTTCAAACTTGTTTTCTAGGCCCCAGCATGGGACAAAAATCAGAAAATTGTCTTGGGAAAGCAAAGAGCAAGAAGGAAAGCCCCAGGCTCCTGACCTGCCACGATGGCACCAAAGGCTCTGCTACTGCAGGATACACACACGCCGTGCAGGCGTTGTGCAGCTGGCGCTCAGGCTGAAGGGAACGACCCGCTCTCCGTACAAAGTGGCATTGTACCCTTAGGCCCTTCGTAAAGGCTGTTCTAAAGTCATTTGAGAATATGGTATGTTCTGAGCACGGGAGCTCTCCCAAAGCCACGCGTGTGCCTAGACTGCCCAGCCTGGCCTACAGTGCGATGCAGACCAGAAGCTCCCACGTACATGAGAGCCACAGGAGGCCATCTAAGAATTAGCATCTCCAAAAGAGCAAGAGGTTTTCAATGCTGAATTTAGGAGAAACTCATTTGCTGTCAACTGCACCCACAAACAGTTCTCATAAGCTAAAACACTGGATCAGGACGTGGACTCAGAAAGTTCTTCCTGGGAAGCTGGTCTCACGAGGCTCTTGCTCTGCACCCGAGAGGACAGGCTAGGGGCAAGACAAAGGCTGGAGCCACCACCTGAAGGGCTCCACATGTCCCTTACCTCTCTGAAAACCTGTCAGCCGCTTCTCCTCCCCTCCAATGTGCTTACACACACCCGCATGCCCAGAGCCAAGGAGGCCCCAAGCGCAGGAGCAACAGCAACGCAGCAGCAAATGCAGCTCTGGAAGCCCTGGCTACCCCATCACCTGAGCCCTGCAACGCGCCTCACGGCAGGGAGGCAAAGCCAGCAGCCGAGCTGTCCAGCAGGACAACTATCCTTGGGTTGCAACACGGAGCAGATTGATTGTAAAGTGAACACTCCAACAGCGGAAACTGGGTTGACTGCACCCACTTTTTTCCCCCTCAAACAGAGTGATACGATCTGAAATTTGAGTGGAAAGATTGGGAACCTTGTTTGTTGCAGAGGGGGATTAATCTGTGAGGAAACCTCCAGGAAAGTGTTCAGAGCAAGCAGCCCTCGGAGCCTGGGCACAACGTATGGCACAGCAAGGCACTGTGTTAGCACCGATACACCCGCCACTCCCACTAAAGCAGGCCCACTAAAATCTGTTTGGGCCTTCATGAGGTTATGGGATCCTGACCATGCACCTGAATGAAACCTTTGGCTTGCAGATGAATTCATAGAAAATACATTGCAGACATTTGTTCAAAAAACACATTTTTTAAGAGAACACATACACATATTTTAAGAGAAATATCCACTTGGAATGAAAAGAGTGAATGAAGTCTTAGAATTCAAACATAACATCAAAAACACACAACGAGGCATGACACAAAGCAGCTCTTTTTATTTTTCAGCTCACTTACCTCTTCTCTTCTTCTAACTTCTTCTTAACCAATTTTTGCTTAACACAAAATTCTTTGTTCCAGCCACAGGAAGACACAGACTTCGCACGATTCCATTTAGAACCAACATATTTGCATTTGCCTGAGACAATTTATTCTGGTTTAACTAGACTTTTAATAATGATCCCTTCACCCGACGCAATGTTCCCTGATAATAAGATTTGAATCTTTCCTACCTTGCAGCCCGTGTCTTCTACCTTGTGTCCTGACTGCACATCTGGCTGGCAGCCGAAGGGCTTCATCACTGCAGACACAGCTGGATTGCAGCGTCCAGCGCAGGGCAGACACAAGGCACTGTAGCATCTCTGCAAAATAAACATGCAAGGTTGAGCCTAAAATGTGCTAAGACTTCTTGCTGAAACACTTTCCATTGTGTGAGAAATTCAAATACATTTTAACTTTATAGCTTGATGAGACAAAAATACATATTAAACCTTTGAGGGCAGCAGGATTTCAGCAATCTCTCTTTTTCTCCCACCATCTCCCCATTCTTTATGCCTTGTGTTTTAGAATGCAAGCTCTTGAAAACCGAGCTGATGCAAAATTACTTTTTAAATGACTCAAACAAGTTTCCAACTCTTTACTCTTCCTAAACCCTACGTCTGTCCAAGCAGGAAGGGGCACTAGCAGTGTGCGAATTTAGGCTGACGATCACCACACACCGAGCAGATGATGAAAAGCAAATGCTGGCATCTAAATGCTCGTGAGAATTAAGCTGCCTGAAAATTATTCACGTGAAGTACTACCTGGGGAATTAGACAGGGCATATTTTTGTTAAATTTCTTCTCTGTTTGCAGTCTTTCTAGGTGAAGGAAAACATATTAAATCCATCACGTGATTTATTTGATGCAAATTGTCTCTTCAGGCCTTTGTACAGTTATTAACTCCTAATTGTTTGAACATAAGGCTTACAAATGCACCACTAACAACTGGCAACACCACCACAGGTCATCCCAGGCAAAAGGAAGACTGAAAAGAAATTCAAGGTTCCCTAGAGTCCTTCATTTTATTTTTCTTTTAAACAAGAATTGGTGAAACTTTGATCAAATGAGATCCAGTTTTAGCAACACGTGGTGGGGGCCTTTTTGACGAAGAAGGATTTTGCTGGCATTGCATTTGCTGTCTGCTGGTTCTGGTCACATCTAAGTGGGAACAGGAATGTGCAAAAATTGGGGAGAGAGCAAGAGAAGAACCCAGCAGCAGATTCTAAAAGAAAGCAAGGAATAGAGCATCCCTAAGCAACACCAAACAAGGCCTTGACTGCAGCCTCAGCCTGAGCAGCCCCACTGATGAAGCCTTAACACACAGTGAAGCAAGAGAGGTGGGGCTGGGGTCTCTGGTATCCCTGAGCTGTGTTTGCTTTTTGCAAACACGTCTGCAGCCAGGCCTGCCTGCTGCAAACGCTGCCTTGCCCTGGGCTCCTACCTCCCCAAGACAAAGCCTCCAAACTTTACTGAAGGCTATTCCTGTAAACTCTTGTAGATACTCTTAGCAGCATATTTTACATATATTGACTGGACTCAAAGGACTGGAGCAGCTAAATATTGCCCAAGGGTAAAAAGAGTTGCAGAGATAGTGGAACATTGCCGCGAGCAGGAGGCTGAAGGCAATATGCACAATCAAAGGAGCCGCTGTTACCTAAGGCCATTTTACTGCTGCCGTCTCTGGGGACGGCCGGTGTTTGTTTGTCATCCTTAAAGTGTTTCTTGAGATGCTTGAGACTTTCTTTGCACAAGGTCTTTGAACATAAACAACAGCCGTCTGCAGGGAAACTTCAGCGCAGGAGGCTCTACGGCTGCCACGGCGGGGAGCTTGAGCGGCTGCCCTGAGCCTTGGCACCAAAACATGAAGCCCCAAAGATCACCCCCCATGCCAATTTGCAACATTGAGCCAGGTGATCCGACACGTGCCACGAAACATGAAAGGATGCAAGGGAGTAGGGAGGGCTTGAAATTAGGGCCTTGACCATGGTGGTCATCAGAAAGGGCACTGCGCAGTGACACCAGTATCTCTACGCCACCTTGCTCCAGCCCTGACTAGCACAAGGGTTTCAGCCCTTGGGTTCAAACAAGAAAAATCTTAGAAAGACAAATCTTAACACTGGCGGGCGAAGCTTAATATCAGCAGTCTATTTTCTCAGGTTACCAGACCCTGGAACAAGGGCTGACTGCTAAAGTGCTCAGGAGCCTTTGCAACTTACCCGTAACTGCAACCCCAGCAAGGCGCTGTGCGCTGGGACCCTGCGCCTGCCGAGCCCGCCAGCACATCCCCACTGGGGGAAGGCTGCACGAGGGGGGCTGCATCACCCAGCCCGCAAAGCGGGGTTTTAGTTAACCTTTACGTTTTCCTCATTAGACTGAGTAGCTGTCATTTTTTTTTTTAAATTCCTGCCTCGGAATTGATTGTGTGATGACAGAGAGCTAAAAGCAGATTTACTATGTGGCATATCAAGCATAATCCAAGAAAAGTCTATTTTTTACAGGCTTTTTTCTGTTGTTGTTAGGTCAGCCCTGATTAGTGTTGTCATTTAAAAACATCCCAAATAACCAGGATAATGACTTAAAGCCACGCTCCATCTCTATCCTCGAGACCTTCGCAGGGGCCGCATGAGGCAAAGCAAACGGCATTCCCCGACAGGAGATGTGCCCAGAGAGCAACTGGAACTGCCCAAAAGCCCCAACCCCACCCAAAACGAAGCTTCCAGAGAGCAAGGAGGAGAGTTTCTCTCCTCCTTGCAGCCAGGCACAAGGGCTGTAGGCTGGGGCTGCAAGGCCAGACTGCACGGCAGGGGTTACTCTGCTCACAACCCTCGCAGGCTGGTCTGTGCTGGCCCTCCTTGGAGGACCTCTCCAGCGCCTCTCCAGCAGGTCTGCCTGCTGGTCTCTCCTGGTCTCCTCGCCCAGGGGGTGCAGACAGGATGATGAAAGCTTCAGGAAGGCAGCTTTTTTGCCAGCACACATCTTTTTTCTTTTTATTATTGCCACAGGTTGGCATCTCCAAAGAGCAAGGAGAGGGTGCCAAGCTTATCACCGTCCAAGTTCTCTAATTTACAAGCGGCACGACTGAAAGCTGAAAACAGAGCAATTTTGCAGGGCAATTCTGGGAAGCAACCGTCCTACAGCACCCATTATTAAAGCCACTCACACACATTAAAGCTATAAAGATTAAAAATATAGCACACTTGTCATTAAATATGAATGGAGTCATGTAATATGCATTATGTAGTGGCGCGCTGGCCAGCCGCGGGTGCCGCAGCCCGGCCCTCAGGCGGGGCGGCGAGGCCCGCGTCCCCAATCAGCGTGCGCTTTGTCCAAGCCCAGCAACGAGTTTGTCATGCAAAATAAACACAGATGTTGCGAGCACCGGCTGTAGCTTGCAGGCAAGGGCTAGGAACACAGAGGGCTTCAGGAAAATGCGCCCCTCCGCACAAGCCTGCCGGCCCTGCACATACTGTACTTCTGCATCAGCTGAGGCTGGATGAGTCATTTAAAGGGCATATCCTGTTGTTGTTTTTAATTTGCTCTGCTGCTCATTGTATTTCTCCTCAATACTCGGTCTTGAAACGTACTCAAATGGCTCCCGGGCCTCATGTGCCTGGCATGCTTTAGCAACACACACACTATTCTCCCCGTTGCCGCTCACACGGCAGTGTGTGTTCAAAAGGCTACCCAGTTTATGAACACCGCAGGCCTGGCTTTGCCTTTTTCCTGCAATTGTTTTCCTCTTGCTTCTCATCCAGCTCTCCCGAGAAATGAATCATTCGCTCTTGTGCTGCACCCAGGAACATCTCGCTCCTGGGCCCAAGTACCACATAAGCCTGTGCTAACCCCCGCGCAGCTACACGCGGACAACACGTCCCGCTCTTCTCACCGCTTCTCCCCCACTTCTCCCCTCTTTCCAGGGAAAGGGGCAGCCAGCAGTTCTGGGCTGACTTCACATTTACCTTCACTTGCCCTGTCCTAACTTGGGGGACACGGGTGGGGGTGCTTGGCTTTGTAAGGGTGGCAGGTGCACATATGGGCTCTCCTCATGGGCTGGATCACACAATCCCAACTGATAAGGAAGATCTTGAGCTCCTTTATGCCACTGTGAGACATGTGCAGGCAGCGCCAGGGAATCCAGTACCTGGGGTCCCAACAGGAGAGACAGGGCCTGATCTCATGGCCATGCACCAGCCCACTGCAATCAACTCTACAGAGGACATATATAAAAGCAATGATCAATGATCCTTTTTCCAAGTTATAAGGCGGACTCACATTGAAAATGTTTTTTAGGGGCAAGGATCTAAGTACTGATTAAAAAAAAAAAAAAACACACAAACTCCCACAATCCCAATGAACTCCTAAGTCCTGCTAAGGCTCTCATCGAATTTGAGCTTTCAGTCCTGTTGAGGGTCCCACACCAGTAACACACTAGATGTGCATATATACTAAAGTATAAGCTCACATATAGGTAAAGCTCAGTCCTTTCGAAACCCTGCTCATTCTGAAAGGCCCTCTGGCCTAACTACAGGAGGGAGCAGAGTTATTTTCAGCAGACCCGTGAAAGCCCTCGTGGAGCTGCTGTGTTGGTCTCAGGCATTTTATATCAGTGTAATTTGATTCACTTCCCTGCTCTGAATAAGCTTTCCTGGCATATTCAAGGTTATCCTGGTAAAACTGTCTGCACAGCAGAGATTTTTCTTCCTTTCCTAATTATACCGCAGATTCAACCTAGACAAGGATTGACAGACCTGGGAGAGGGAAACAAACCAGTTACAATAGATCTTGTCTAACTACTCAGAACTAAGCAACAGAGCTTGAATTTTCAATACCAGGAGTCAAGTCTGCCTAGAAAATTGCATAAAACCAGCCACAGGAAAAGCAAGGAAGACCAAGTGAAGTTCAACGAGTAATTTCAAAACGTGAGTCATTTCAGATTTCAAATAGGTGCCAGAAACCTGGAATTTTTGCAGAGATTGGCTCTGCATGGCCCAAGAGGTCAAATTTGTCAAGTAAATTACTCCCAGAACAGCCTGCGCCCAGCTCCAGCGAGCGGCAGTGAGCTGGAGACGAGGGATAATTCATTACCCGGGCATCTCCGTCTGAGCAGGGCAACACAAGTCATTTGGCGTCTGTGGGTCTAATTAGGTGCCATTAAACGGACTGATGCTCATTTTCCTGCTGCACGACCAAAAAGGCAATTTGTTTGTGGGAAGCAGTTGCAAAGGTGGAGG